ATCTTACACCTTACTTGATGAAATCTTTTTCAATTTTATTTACATGGTCATAATAACATTTTCACCATTCCTCTGCACCAATTTGTGAGGTACACCTGAAACCCCCGATAAAGCAGCTATCATAAGAATAATATAAAAAAAAACATACGGGTTGAATTGAGAACCTCCTCCTTTTTTTGAAGTCGGTTGAAAAAACCCTTCTGACGCAGTTAGGTAATAAACTAAATGTATCCAATTTCACTCCAACTTACTGTCAACTCAACGACGCGCTTTAAAATCAAAGATTGACTTTGAATTATGCCTTATTTTACAATACACATTGAAAACAATATGACTTGCTTGAGCTTTTTCGACTTTTTCACAAAAATAACAAATAGAAAATGAAAATGAAAATGATATTTGAAAATGAAAATGAAAATGAAATGCCATATGAAATACACTTTTCCAATATTTTTGTTTGCCATGAGATTCTGGTACACCTATATACCTATCATTTAATGAAAAGATAAACTAAATTTTTTCAGCACAACGAAAATCAGCTTTGGCGCGTAGCAATGCAACGTGACAACTGCAGTTCGGACTTCTTTATGCGTCCACTACACCTAGCATTATAATCGTAACTCTGAAAATGAATCGATTACTTATATCAAAATAGCTAAGTAATTAAATTGAAAAATCACGATAAAAACTAAATGGCCAAAAGTGGGGTTCTTCGCGCACCACTTTTGGCCAGTCATGTGGCCAAAGATGGGAAAATTCATTCATTCTGGCTCCATTAGTGGCCACCTCTCATAAACCCACTTAATAAACAAATAGCGATAAAATATCATTAGTACTACTTAGACAGTGTATTCTTTATTAAGGATTAACATAAACATTTAAAAAAATAAGAAGGGTTTAGAAAATAATGATTGTTTACTCACCCGCTCGCCTTAGCCTTTTTGCTAAGACTTAAAACAATTAACGCTTCTCAAAAAATAATGACTTGTTGGATTGAAGTAAAGCTTGACACATCAAAGCTGTTAACGCTATCAGTGTTGCTAATATTAGATATTTTTATTCCCGTAAACCATACAGTAATATATTAGTCTTTGCCTTAGTTATAACGATTTGAAGTTCTAAATGGCCACAAAGGGGTCGGTGGCCACAACCGGGTCACTTGCCCTACTTGTTATTGAGCAGAGACACAAACTTGGTTATTTTTCCAAAAAATTTATATTTTTTTTAGGTGAATAAATGTGGCATAATAATGGTTACTTTTTAAGCGCCTAGTTTGAAATGTGATTGAACGATGACAACTAACATCAGTTGTCAGTTAGGTAAAATTTTATTTTAGTTGGAAAAAGACAAAAAGTGGTAAATGGGTTAACGTGCGGGGGCTGCAAAATCATGTTGTGACGTCACGCGCGAATATTGGAAATTTTTGAAAATTTTAAAAGGTCCGTAAACTTCTCGAGGCTCTATCTTCGGTAATACTGGACGGATTGAGGTGAAATAAAAACTAGCTTAATGTGTGTGATCTAAACTTTAAATTAAGTCATAATTTAACTTAATATTACAACTTATGCGTGTTCTCCATTGATTTGAGAACTTTCATAACCAAAGGATAACGACATCTTCTTGTCCAAATAAAGAAGTCACAACTAAGGTCTTTGACCAATGTGTGTTGTTACCATGGGCCTCATGAGAAGGCAGAAGGAAAGGGCAGAGGCGTGCTCGGAGTTTCCTTATGCGATTGAATCAGAAATAAGGAAATGTGTAGGAAAACTAAAGTGACCAATTTCTGACATAGCTAAAAATGTTTCCCTTCACAGCCCAGCAAAGAACGAACTGGACCCTGAGAATAAAACTGAAGCAGCCGGCGAAATAATACACAGAGCCCACGATGCACCAGTGAACGCGACCGGCGACAAAGTGTTCCCGGGCAGCGGGTTCATACTCCGGGCTACCAACGATACGAAGCCGCCCGCGAAGAATGTCACGGAAAAAGTGTAGTGTAACTTATTAATTAAATAAATGATTTTTTCGGAAGATATCCTTTTTTGAATACGATATTTACCAGAACGCAGAATACCTACCTAAGCATTCACAAATCATGTCATATAATGGTGTTTTATAAAAAAACCTACACAATGTTGAGCATACTATTATTAAAAATTAATGTGCTATAGAATAAATATCACACTATGTCAACCCGTATTCATAAACATTACTATGAGGTCTCACAGTGCGCGTGTCACACGAACCAATCACAGAGCTTTATTCAACGCTGTGCGTTTGATTTGCTGCTTCACTTAAGCAAGCATCGTTTGTGAATACGGGCGTTATTCTATTACATTAAACAGCAGAGTTAAATTACTTTTTACGACACGAATATTGAATGCGAAGCGACAAACTTTGATGTTCTCTTCATGAATAAGCAAAATTATTGAATTTTAATGTATGTAATTAAAGGCCTTTGTCCAGCAGTGGACGTCTTTCGGCTGAAACGAACGAACGAATATGAATGTAACAAGTTCTAATTGGCCGCGAAGGATTTTTTAGGGAATGTATGATTGATTGCAATCGCTAATGAATGAAAATTGGTGATTTGATCATGAATGTGACTAGGTTCATTTAGCGCATTAACAAAGATGGTGAACCTTTTGACGAATGTAAGCATGCGCTGTGAAATAATGTGTTCTCTCTCTCTCTGTAGGTGCCTAAAGAGGGTAAAATTGTTTTTGGAAATTCTCCATTTTAAGAGGTTAGAATAAAATAGTAAAGACACGAGGAATAGCAAACAATCAAAACCAATTTTAATGAGTTTGTAGTTTTATTTGTACTCGTCGTCAACCAATCAATTTCTTATGTAATTACTTGTACCTTTATTAAAAAGTTAATGATTGTTGCGGAAGTTCTATTATTAAATTCATTGAAGCGTGTCTTCACAGTAGATTGAGCAAGAAATTTGTAATTTATGATATTTAATTGATAGAAACTATTTGATGCGTTCCTTATAGGATCGCTCATGTGCCGAAATGACGAATTTTTGTGTAATCGTTTTTTCGGTAGTTTTAATATTAGGTAAGTTATCTTCAACTGTTTTTATATTATATCAAAACGATCATCACTATTCTACAATATTTTTAGAAGATTTTCCTTCTAAATTTTTGGTTAACTACCAATAATTTTACTTTATACAATCTAGGAGTCTCTACTGCCAATCCGGCTCAGTCAGACAAAGTAGAAGATAAATCAAATGATAGTACAAAACATGATTCTCACAAAGTTTCTAAGCAAGTCAGTAATGGGACCGATGATGGCGACGAAATAGCAGATGAGGGATGGGAATACGAAAACACTACGATTGTAGATACAAGAAGAATTTTGTACAGCAAAAAGGTTCCTATTGGGAAAAGGCCTTATATGGTAAGATTCAAAATTTTCCTATCATCATCATGAATAATAAAAACCCTAAGTGCACGCTTTCAATTAAGAGTAGGCGCACACCGTTGATTTTTAGCTGGCCGATAGTTGTGCCCGATTTTAAATTGAATGAAGAATCGGCCAAATCGAATCGGCGTAGTGTGCCCACTCCCATACATTTTCAGGTCAAAATATTGAAATACAATCCAATTTTAGCCTGATATTCGAAGGGCTCTTTCAAATTGTTTTTAGGACTGTACCTACACTAAAAATTGTGGGAGGTATTTCAAACTTTAGGTATTTTCTGCTAAAAACGTCTAATTTGAAGGAGCCCTAAAGTAGCAAAAAAATAAGTCGAATAACTTGTCTGTGAATGTCCATTTGATGTACCTTTATCACGGACTTCACTAATAGAAAAATAAAAAAATATTGACCCTTTTTCTCTCCAAAAAGGTATACCTCCAACTGACGAAAGAGTCAGCCAAGGCCCACAAATACCGCGGCTGGCTTTGCGGAGGCGTCATCGTCGACGCCTATTACGTTCTGACATCTGCCGCGTGCGTGGAAGACGCTGATCACTTCTACATTGTGTCTGGTACCACCAAGTTTGTGGACAGCTTCGATTATAAATCGGATGATTGTGTCTGCAAGCATAGGAGGCGGGTGGTGTGGAAGTGTATCCCTAAGAGTAAGACGTCATTTTTTGTATATTTATACTTTTTCCTTTCTGCCTTTTAACCGAAAGACGTCCACACTTCGACCAAAACTCCTTGGGAATGAATTTCACAACTTCCGATCCTGGGCTGCTCATATCAGAGGCATCCCGCAACCTTCACCTACCGGTCTAGGATGCGCGCCATGTTAAAAACTTATCGACGATTTTTGTCGACAAATGTATGGACTTATCGCGCAAAGTCGATAAAATGTGACGATAAAAGTTTATCGCGGTGCGCATCCTAGACCGACAGGTCGTCAGTCAACCTACTGCAACTTGAGTTAATACTTGAGTCATCATAAAATTTCTATCAGAACTCAAATGTGAGTATCGTTTCAGATTACAAGTTCGACTTCCAAGACAGCATCAAATGGTCGTCCAACGATATCGCGATCGTCAAAGTGGACAAGCCTTTCAAGTTGGGAGTTTGCGAGAAGGGCTGCGAATTTCCCACTGACCTTATTTGCTATAACAACATTAGTAGAGAACTCGAGAAGCCAGGAACTAAAGGCTGGATTGCTGGGTGGGGAAGTGGCAGTAACTTTAGAGAGGTATGTATAGTATTTTGTCAAGCAGTCGCTATTTTCAACATGAGGCATCATAGTGGTAAGTGATATGACGTATGGAAAGTATTACAATGCATGTGTCAGCAGTCGTAGATGGCAGTTTCGAACTGCTTGTATGTGACGTCATGATATCGGACCCTTTTTATGAGGCATTATAGTGGTAAGAGATGTGATGAATCAAAATAATTACAAAATTGTTAGTCGTGTAAGCAGCCGTATATGGCAGTTTGGAACTGCTAGTATGTGACATCATCATATCTTTAGCAGATTCGGACGAAGCCTTTTTCAATATCATGACGCCAACGTCATGCTGACACAAAAGATAGCCCTTGACAACCTCTTTAAAACTTTTGAAATTCCAATAATAAAACTTTTTTGGTGAATTCAGGGAGTCTATCGCCGTCAAAGAGTCCACATACCAGAGAACGCGAAATGTTTGCAAGAAGCAAAGGTCTGCGTGATGGACAACGAGCAATGCGCCAAGAAATGGGCTCAAAGGTTCAGGAGCATCATCACTCAGTACATGATCTGCACCAAGGACGTCATGAAACGGCTTAGCGAGATCTGTGACGTATGTATCTTAAAAGTCATAGAAGTAATTTAATTTCTACAAACAGGCCTATCTTAGCTTAGTATAAAACGCTTCACACGTCCCCGTATTACTTTAACCCTACTACTGCTTTGGGACAATGAATTGGGCCTGTGCTGAGAAGAAGCAGCGCAAGAAACTCGAGTTACTATTGTCAGCTTCTTTTTGAAGGGTTTACAAAAGATGCTTACAGATTCGATAGCTAGGCATTCTGATTCTGACTGAATGAAATACAGCATTAGCAATTATTATGCCTAACAAATCAATATGAATTCGCAGAAAAAATACGCCAACTGTACTGACGTGGAAAGTAGAAGACATCTTGAGGGCTCAACAGAGGTTGGGGCACCTAAAACATTTAACGTAGACCTCGGAAGGCATTTGAGAGATCCTGATGATTATACAGCTAGACGATCGTCCGTTCAGGGTGGATTCTGTGAGGTAAGGGAAAAATGAACTAAGTCCCTTTTATTACAATGCAGGATCCGGGGAGATAGAGTGGAGAAAAAGGTAAGATAAGACAGAGGAAGAGAGAGGGGGCAGTGATAGGAGAGAGGGGACAGGGATAGGAGAGAAGGGACAGGGATAGGTGATAGGTGAGAAGGGACAAAGATAGGTGAGAAGGGACACCGGTAGGAGAGATGGGACACTGATAGGAGAGATGGGACAGAGACAGGAGAGGGGACAGAAATAGGAGAGAAGGAACAAATATAGGAAAGAGGGAACAGAGAGGGGAAAGATGAGAGGCGAGAGAAGATAAAATATACATACATAGATATGAAAGAGACAGAGAGGAGAGATCAAATCGATAGTTTTTCAACCGTTTTTCTTAAACATTTTTTTTCAGAATGACCACGGTGGCCCTCTAATAGTAAAATATCAAGGCATGGAGCGAGTGATCGGTGTGATCTCAGCGTGCAAGATCGATCCCAAGAGCCATAGTTGTCATGGACCGTTCTTGTACACTTCGGTGTTTAAAAACCGGCAGTTTATCTCGTGCGCTATTCACAAGGATGTTGAGTAAGTATTTTGAATCCAAGAATCTAGTCTAATAAATTGAAAGTAGATGGTGGTTTTATACGTAGTATCTGCGAAAGTTCTTTCCTATAACTCGAGTTAACTGCACACCTGGTAGCCGTGACGTCACATCGACGCTCTGGTAAGGGCGGGGCGAATGCGGGGAGATGTGCGAGTGAGAGTCGCATTCCAGCGAGGTACGCAATTAGCTCGATCGGATTGTACACACGGCCACACTGTTAACTATCCATTTCCGTTTTTGCTCTCGCTCTCATCAAATGGTGATTCTTTGCGATAGAACGAGACGACATGACAGGTAATGGAAAGATAACACTGTTGCCGATGGTACCTATTAACTAAAATGGTTTGTTGGTTTACATTGTTTTAGGGAGAACTGCAGAAGGGTGTTCCGTACTGGTATAACGCATGAAGAATGGTCCGTTAATTGGGACGACGTGGAAGAGTAAGAGAAATACTTATTACAGAAATTGTACTCATACATCTATATTAAAATGAATATCTTTTTATTTCAGAGACAAGGCAGACAGGTTAGTGTTTAATTATTATTATTTATTTTTTAAGTACCTAACGTAAAAAGTGGCAATTGAAAACATGTTTAATTTTACTTTTTTCTTTACAGGGATGAAAAAGATGATGACAGGTAAATCTTGACAAGGGTTGATATTTGAAAGTATTTGTAATTATATTCCTTCACCTTAATTTATTGCTTTTAGTGAAGATGAGAAGCCGGAAAAAGAAGCTTTACGACAAAGCGAGTAAGTATTTTTTCAATCTTGCTTAAGTATTAAAATACAGAAAAAATATTTAATAGAGTAAATGCCATAGGGCAATAAAGCTTTTAGTAATATTAAACCAATTTCCTAATCGCAGTAAGCAGTTGAAGAAACAAGAGAAGAAAAAAGAATCCGACAGTTCTAGCGACAGCAGCGAAGAAGACACCAAAACAAAAAAAGAAAAGACCGAAAAGAAAGAATCTAAAAAGAAAGAGAGCACAAGCAAACGCTCTAAAAGTAAAAAGAGTAAGAGCCACTCTAAAAAAGAGTCACACAAAGAGGAAAAGAAAGAATCTGACTCTAAAAAGTCAAAGGAGAAGTCTTCTGACTTCATAGGAATGCAGAGGGGGGAAGTGTTTTATGAATCCAGTAGGGACGAAAATGTCAATGAGCCAGACGACGAATAGGGTTTCTGGTAAATAAATGAGTAAGTTTTCATAAGAGTTTCATTCTTTTTCTAATCCTGTCTGAAAGAGGAACATTAATATTCCTAATGAGAGTGAATAGGCACTTACAGGGCAGATATGTACCATCCTAGACCGCATCCCACTTAACATCAGGTGCGATTGTGGTCAAATACCTGCCTTGTTATGCATAAAAAAATATATATATCAAAATCCTCAATATTTAAATAGAGAATTTAATATTTGATTCCTAGATTGACGATGAAATGCAGTGTAATTATTACTGGTTTAGTTTGTCATCATAGAGGTAGCAGGAAGGCGCTGGAGGAAGGCCGCTACCAACTGGTCATTATGCAAATCATTGGGTGAGGCCTATGTTCAGCAGTGGACATCCTATGGCTGAAATGATGACGGATTGACATTGCAAACATGAATCAATCACTGTACAAATCGATATACGAATTCCATTCCATAAAGGCATCGGTCAGATTGGGCCTTAACAAACTCCTATGGCACAAAGTAGTGTAGTTTATTCAGGTGACAAATATAACAGACAAAATATTCTTATGAAGAATAATCAGCTTAATAAAATTTCATGCAAATGGATAAGGGATAGTTACAAGGGTTCTATCACAAGGTCCAGTTTCAAGCACCCGATGAAGACCCGATCGGTCTTGCAGTCGCATTCCTTGTTCTGGTAGAAGTTCATGGTCACCATGTACCGGGCTTCGTTGGCTTGGTTCACTGGCAGGTCGTCGGAAGCCGGCACGAAGTCGTTGATGGAGTATTCCCCCTGAAGGTAATGATATTAGATTTAGCGACACACCGTACTTAGAGCAACTAAAATATTGTACCAGATACAATGTTATGAAAATGCAACAAAATTGGTAATGAGGATAGTATTCGAGCTCCCCAATTGGTGCCAATCACTTGAGTAAAATTCCTGTCAATTTAGCAAGACACTACTTCTACCACTAACCACTAAGGTGGCTAAGACGGTGGCGCCAACTGATGAGCGTTAAATCGGTAGGGAGACTATCGCATTTGCATTCAACGGGGTTTGCGCCACAGTCAAGTAAAGGGCGCAAACTCGTGAGTGCAAACAGTAGGACTCATTGACGACACATTAAAATACTAGAAAGGAATACTAAAATACAAGTGCGATGGTGCATTTTAGCAATCTTTCAATATGGAAATCTTGCAAACTATTGTGGTCAACTAACATTGACAGCGGATTTTAGTAGCCGTAATATTTTTAGGTCGCAAAGGGTCGCAAATATCGTGGGTCATCAACGGCTTAACTCAGCCGTTCTTGTCCCTTTCTAAAACTAATCAATAAAACTTACAGCACTGAATGGGCATGTGTCAGGAATGCCGAAGTGCTTGAGGTACTTGTAGTAGCCGCTTTCGGCTCCAATTTCGGCGCACAGGTCGCAAATGTCGTGCGTCATCATCGGCTCAAATCTGCCGTTTTTGTCCCTTTCTAATTATAATGTCCTTTTCTAAAACTTACAGCACTGAAGGGGCAAGTGTCAGGAATCCCGAAGTGCTTGAGGTACTTGTAGTAGCCGCTCTCGGCTCCTATCTCGGCGCACAGGTCGCAAATGTCGTGCGTCATCATAGGCTCTACTCGGCCGTTTTTGTCCCTTTCTAATTATAATCTGTTCTATTCTAAAACTATTTTATAATACTTACAGCACTGAAGGGGCAGGTGTCGGGAATGCCGAAGTGCTTGAGGTACTTGTAGTAGCCGCTCTCGGCTCCTATCTCGGCGCACAGGTCGCAAATGTCGTGCGTCATCATAGGCTCTACTCGGCCGTTTTTGTCCCTTTCTAATTATAATCTGTTCTATTCTAAAACTATTTTATAATACTTACAGCACTGAAGGGGCAGGTGTCAGGAATGCCGAAGTGCTTGAGGTACTTGTAGTAGCCGCTCTCAGCTTCTATCTCGGCGCACAGGTCGCAAATTTCGTGTATCATCAACGGCTCAACTGGGCCGTTTTTGTCCTTTACTAAATTAAATAAAACTTACAGCACTGAAAGGACAAGTGTCAGGAATCCCGAAGTGCTTGAGGTAGGTACTTGTAGTAGCCGCTTTCAGCTCCTATCTCGGCGCACAGGTCGCAAATGTCGTGCGTCATCATCGGCTCAACTCGGCCGTTTTTGTCCCTTTCTTTATAATCTGTCCTTTTCTAAAACTATTTTATAATACTTACAGCACTGAAGGGGCAGGTGTCAGGAATGCCGAAGTGCTTTAGGTACTTGTAGTAGCCGCTCTCGGCTCCTATCTCGGCGCACAGGTCGCAAATGTCGTGCGTCATCATCGGCTCAACTCGGCCGTTTTTGTCCCTTTCTACTATTAGTTCCACCTGTAATAAAATAATTAATATCTTGATGGATTGACAACAAAAAAAAAACAATGGAAAGTTCCACTAAAGCCTAAATCAAGTACGATTTTGTGCATTCTTAAAACAGACACATATGAACAATATTCATGTAGGTATGTGGGCACCACATCCAAGGCAAGTGTAGGCAAGGTCCCCAAAAGTTGAGAAATTAATGACATGAAAATTTCATGAGACCTTTTTTTTACCCGACTGCGAGACTCAAAGGAAGGTAATGAATGTGTTTAACAGCCTGCATTTTTATTCTGAACAACTTATCCAGTAGACTAAATTGTTTAAAAAACTCACCACAGTGCAAGGTTCAATTCCCTTCAGAAACTTAAAGGTGCCAGTCATGTAAGCGAACGTTTCGTTGTGCCTCTGCACCTCTACCCCTGAAGTATCGACAAATTCCTGGCTAGCGGCGTCGGAACACACATACACGGGCGAGTCGAAGTTGAGCACCCATTCTTCTTGCTTGAAACAAAATATTAGTAATTTCACGTGTTAAATAAGATTAAAATGATAACTGCATCATGATCACCTATTGCTATTGGTTTGATTGGCAACACCGGATCATCATATTTCAGCCACAGGAGGCCACTGCTGAATAGACCTCCCCCAACGACTTCCTCGATTTACCAGTTGGTGGTCGGCCTAATTTTAAACAGTAGCCATCGGTCTCTTCTGAAGTCTTAGAATGTGCACCATGGTAACTTCGGAACATTTTATCGATTTTAAACGATAAGATCATTTATCGTCCGTAATCGACAAAATAATACGATAAGGTTTTATCGTGGCGCCAATCCTTGCCGGGTTGGTCCGGGAAACTGGGAATTTATTAAAGTCACACATAGTGTCAGTTGATTAGTGCAAAATATATACAAGATCATAGCAAATACACTTACTGGGATATCCGGCAGGGCATCACTGAGACCCAACACCAAGGCAATTGCAGTACAATACGCTAACATCATCATTGCAATCAACACTCCTGAAAATTGACACGTATTTATAAATTACACACTTTATAAAACATGTATGGCGTGCAACATCTGATAAAATGTATGTAATACGTACCATGTATGTGTGATTGAAATCTGTGTAACTATTTCAAGAATTGAGTGTATTTGTACCGACTAAGTAGTAATTAGGGATGTTTTAACACAACAATATTATGCAGTACAATGAAACACTGATGCACTAAAAAAATAGAATTTAATTTGACCTCTAGACGGCAAAATGTTAAAATTACAATCACAACATTTAATTTTCAGGTAGAATAGAAATTTTAGATCATCTAAACGTTGTTAGTTTCAGACACACGCTACATTGAAAGTTGAAATTAAAAATCAAAACAAAATAAAGTGTTCAATAAATTTATTAAAAAAAATACAAAACAAAAAAACGCTCATCCATGCTTGCTATCCCAACGTTAAAGATTACAAAATAAACTAGCAAATATCAGTGTTAACAAGTTTATATACATAAATATATAATCTATAGTGCTTAAAATTGCATGTGAGGAATAACAATGTTATTGGGGCACAACGCTATTGTGCGAGATAGTACTCTATAGAAACTAACGTTAGAAAATAGCTTATTAAATGTATTACCAAGCAATATTATTATGCTGCCAAAATAAAACTAAAAATTTCGAAAAATACATCGATACAAATACCTTCTATATAAAATACATCTTCGTTTTAACGCTAAGAGACCAATAATAGTGAAGCATAGTTCACTTCATAATCTAAAATAGATAATTTAAATATTCCATTTTCAATAATATATTACTTTTCAAGTCTTAAATTAAATAACCTAATACTGAAAAAGTAACTTTTGACTCCGCAAGTGCACTAAATATTTATACCAACTCACATACACACGATATGTTAAAAATAGTTAAGACCTTAATAATGTAATCTAAATATCCAAGAGAAATATTTATTGCATGTACTCAAAGTTGGCACAAATACACAACAGGACAAACTTAACAGGGCCCCAAACCCGAACGCTTCCAAATAAATACTCTTAACGCTAGTCAAATCCATCAACTAAGTTCTACCTAATTTGGGACTCTGTTATACAAGCACCTTAACAATATTAAAAATATATTAATCTTCTCAGAGTTCAATCTATTCTATACTAAAATATAGCATCTTTTATCGTAAATTATGGAAGAATGCTTAAAACGTATCTGCATTGAAAACAAGTATTTGTAAATAAATCTATTTGCGCTGTTACATACTAACGTTAGACTAGAGAAAACTAAAACATTCGTATAGATATATCTTTCGTAGGGGTTTCATAAATATAGCTCACTCTTAAACAACGCGCCGGCTCAAGGAGAAAACAACAAAAAACCTAAGTGCCACAGTAGACTGACTTGGCAAACCAGTAACTCATCTCTGCACAAGTGTACAGGTAAAAAATTCATTTGTGTAACAGCAACATCTAAAGCTATTCAAATCATCAACAGTCTAGAATAAATAAAATATAAAATATTACGTTTCAAATCCATAACAAAGTACATTAGCAGAATCAACAAATCATTTTTGATACAAGATAAGTTACTCTTACCTTTCCTACACTGTGGCCGAGCGAACAACCGTTCGAACAAAACCAAAATCGAACCATCGCTTCTTACCGGTTACATCTACGTCACACAAAAACATTAAAACCAAGTGACGTAGACAATTCGAGCCGATGAGCCGGCGCAAAGGAAAATCAACCTTAACACTAGACAATTAGTATCGGAATGCGACTGGCGCGTCTCCGTGTGCAAACTAAGCGAGCAACGTTTGTTTATATGCGTGTTTTAGAAATAATACAAGGTATTCGTTATCAAAACGTCGAAGAGGACGCGTCGATCGCTTCAGCATTCGGAAAATCAATGTACGGCCTCCTGAAAAGAAAAATGTCTGATCAAAAAACTTTCAACGAGTAAATAATGCAAGAGTAAGCCTTTTTAAGAAAATAGGCAGACGCGAACATCAAGCCTCCTCAACCAGTCTGGCTGGCGTGGGAAGTACAGGCAAATTTTCCATAATGCCTCAGGTAAATTTAGAGGTCCCATTTGATCCCACAGGTGCTGACATAACCCGACGGATTAGCAAGCTGAAGTGGCAATGGGCAGGACACATAGTACGCAGTACTGACGGCCGATGGGGCAGCAAGGTTCTGGAGTGGAGCCCGCGTACCGGAAAACGCAGCGTGGGACGTTCACCCACGAGGTGGACCGACGACATCGTAAAGGTAGCAGGAAGGCACTGGACGCAGGCCGCTACCAACCGGGCAACTTGGAAAGCATTGAGGAGGATTATGTTCAGCAGTGGATGTCCTATGGTTGATATGATGATGATGATGATGACTCGAGGGACCAACCATCTATTGAAGGTTGTAAGACTGAGAAGCACCTAGACACGGGCAGCACAGAAGATGTTACTGGTTATCAAACTTTGGTATCATACACGGCCGAAGGGTGGTCGATGTGGTAATCCTTGGGGACGCACCGGGACTGGCCCGTGTGCCGCGCACACGAGGAGCCTACCTGCGTGGGCTCGGGCGAGGCGGGCGCGGGCGGGCGGCGCGGCGGCGCGGGCTCGACGCACAGCAGGCGCGGCTTGTCGTCGCGCGCCTCGTGGCCGCGGGCCGGGCGGGACTGGCCCGTGTGCCGCGCGAACAAGGCACCTGCACCTACCTGCGTGGGCTCGGGCGAGGCGGGCGCGGGCGGGCGGCGCGGCGGCGCGGGCTCGACGCACAGCAGGCGCGGCTTGTCGTCGCGCGCCTCGTGGCCGCGGGCCGGGCGGGACTGGCCCGTGTGCCGCGCACACAAGGCACCTGCACCTACCTGCGTGGGCTCGGGCGAGGCGGGCGCGGGCGGGCGGCGCGGCGGCGCGGGCTCGACGCACAACAGGCGCGGCTTGTCGTCGCGCGCCTCGTGCCGCGGGCCGGCCGGGACTGGCCCGTGTGCCGCGCACACAAGGCACCTGCACCTACCTGCGTGGGCTCGGGCGAGGCGGGCGCGGGCGGGCGGCGCGGCGGCGCGGGCTCGACGCATAGCAGGCGCGGCTTGTCGTCGCGCGCCTCGTCGCCGGCGGCGCCGCTGCCGCCGACCGACATCTGAGCGAGCGCGGCTATCACGCTGTCCATGTTGATGGTGGTCGCTGGCGCGCTGTCGCCTTCGCCCTGATGATAAAAAATATTTTTAATTTATTCGGAACGCTCACTAATTATTCGGCGCAGAAAAGTTCTCAAATGGCGACGAGCTGAAAAACGTAGTGTGGGCAGACCTCCCACTAGGACAAATAGTGACTGAGTTTCTTGCGCTGCTTCTTCTCAGCACTGGCCCATTTATTGTCCCGAAGCAGTGGTAGGGTTAATATTGGGACGTGTAAAAGCGCTTTTTAAAAGCCTATTTGCAAAAATAAATGAATTTTATGATTTTTTTATTTTATGACCTAGTGAATTTTGCAGTAAGATACCTGGATGCTGGGAGAACAGGACCGGTCCTCCCCGCATCCAGGTAATGTGTGTTTTTGGAAATCCTTGGGGGAGGCCTTTGCCTAAGAGGGGGAGCTATATTAAGTAAAACATTTTTTTGTACAGATACTTAGCACAAAAAACCTATAAATAAAAGCTATAAGAATGAAAATTACCTTTTGAGGTCCAGATTTGAAGAAGTGAAGATAGCAGAATCCACGGAATCCCTGTAATAAAAAAGCTCAAATTAGGAACAGAGAAATCTTGGTAAAATAAAAAAGTCTTATTTTCTTTCCCCTACTATTTTGTCCTAACAAGCACAATACTATAATAAACTACATCTTATGCCACATTTGAGACAAAACTATAAATAATAAGAAATATCTTATACCTTCCAAACCATGATCTGTGGCTTGACACCGCGCTCTGACAGCGCTTGCTTCAGATCGCGCACTCGAGTGTTGGGGCTGATGTTTGAAATCTGTAACAAAATAGATCAAACTTTAGGCTGAGTTGCACCACCTAACTTTAACGGTAACTATGACGATAACCGGTGCCTTTTGTATGGAGTTTGACGTTTGTCAAAGTTAAAGTAAGATGGTGTAACCCAGCCTTAGACTTTTTTACATCAACAAGTATAGATCATGTCACTATTTTGCCAATGAAGGCTACAGTACTTGAGCTTCAGTTGGCGCCGCCGACTGGCGAGTATACGTATTCAGAAACACTACAATGAGGTCTCACAGTGCGCGTAGACGCACAGGGTGACACACGAACCAATCACAGAGCTATATTCAACGCTGTGCGTCCGATTTGCTGCTTCACATAAGCAACCATCGTTTGTGAATACGGGCGACAGTCTTGTCACTCAATAGTGCCTAAGACAGTGATGCCAACTGGTGAGTGTACTAATATCGTAGGTTATTATACTTGTCCATCACTGAACCGTCCCAGCTATGACATTGTCAGGAGGGCGCTACTATTAATACTGGGTTATTAGTTCCAATATTTGCCATTTGACGTTTCAGAATCGTTTGACTCTAAGGCTGAGTTGCACCATCTAACTTAGACCCTGACTATAACGATAACCGGTGTATTTTGTATGGAGTTTGACAATTTTTTGACGTTTGTCAAAGTTAAAATAAGATGGTGCAACCCAGTCTAAGAACAGTTTCGAATTATTGCTATGATTTTCAAACCTTATTGCAAAGGTCGTGAACCTATTGTTCGTGATTAAATAATGACATAGATAGCCATTCAGGTTAATGGGCGTGTGTATTTTAACAGCTGGTTATCAAATAATACTAAATTGTTTTACGTCAAACGAATAGCTCGTAAATCGTGGGTATAAATTGCGGCTAACAATATGTGCCACAAGTTTTTACTGAACTAGATTTTCAATAATGACCGAGATGATAATATTATGTAGCGGCTATGTAGACGGTATTAAATTGCACACGATGTCCGAACTAGTGTCTTGTAATTCGGCATATTTGTTAAAATATAATACATAACGTCTCGCACGCGATCAGAAGTAGTTTTTTTTTGGCGTTTTTCTGGCCAAAGGCAACTCACACATGCTACATGGCAATTTCCAAGGTTCCAGCAGAGAAGAATAGGAGCATTCCCACTCTTTCCGTGCTGTATTGTGAATAGTTTCTTGCGCTGCTTCTTCTCACCATTTGGTGTCCCGAAGCAGTGGCGAGATTAAGTAATACTGGCCTGGCACGAGTAAATGAGCTTTTTGTAAGCTTTTTGCAAAATAAATGACTTTGAATTTGTAGGCCCTAGGTCAGTGCGCCACGATAAACTTATATTGCCGCATTTTATCGATTATGTGTCACATGGTGCGGCGCGGGCGCTCCTTGCCTTCCTTGCCGGAGGACTTGTTGCTGTTGTTGAGTCTTCCTGGCGCTATCGACAGTGAGCTATCGAGGAGCCTCCTCCTCTATGTGTTACCTTGACGGAGAAGTCAATGACCGGGCGCTGCCACTTGGTGCGGCGCGGTCGCGGCTCGGCGCCCTTCTTGCCCTCTTTGCCGGAGGATTTGTTGCTGTTGTTGACGTCATCTTACTATCCACAGTGATCAATAGACAAACTTCCCTCTCTATGTGTTACCTTGACGGAGAAGTCAATGACCGGGCGCTGCCGCTTGGTGCGGCGCGGGCGCGGCTTGGCGCCCTCCTTGCCCTCTTTGCCGGAGGATTTGTTGCTGTTGTTGACGTCATCTTACTATCGACAGTGAGTTATCGAGCGGCATTACGTGTTAAATTGACGGAGAAGTAACGTATCTCGATGCGTTACTTTGACGTAGTGGCATGTATGTGTTACCTTGACGTAGAGGCATGTATATTGCGTTCCTTTGACGGAGATGCATCTTTGTGTTACCTTAACGGAGAGTCATCTATGTGTTACCAAGACGGAGAGGCATCATGTGTTACCTTGACGGAGAAGTCAATGACCGGGCGCTGCCGCTTGTTGCGGCGCGGGCGCGGCTCGGCGCCCTCCTTGCCCTCTTTGCCGGAGGATTTGTTGCTGTTGACTTCATGTTACTATCGACACATCGACAGTGAGCTATCGAGGGACATCTCTAGTTACCTTGACGGAGAAGTCGATGACCGGGCGCTGCCGCTTGGTGCGGCGCGGGCGCGGCTCGGCGCCCTCCTTGCCCTCTTTGCCGGAGGATTTGTTGCTGTTGCGACGACGCGTCGATCGCCGCGGCTTGCCGCCTGATTTGCCGTCTTCGCCTTCCGTTGTGTTACCCTGTGGGAGAAAATATCATTTTTGTAAACTGCCAAAGTATTTGTACTTGCTCTTCTAACTAAATTAAAAATTAGAATAAACCACGTGAAAAAAGAATCGAGCGTTGGCCAAGTGTAAACAACACCACTGTGTAAAAAGTAGAAACAGCTTAGTCCTAGTGAAGTGAAGGAAATGCGACGATTCCTATGGTCCCTAGATCTTCAGCACAACTCAAATCATTGATGCGAATGCTTAGAAAAGGCCATATCCAATGGCTCATTCTAGCGGACCCGATCTGGAATAGGTTTGATCAAGGAACCTCCAACTGATTTCATGTTACAAGGCTGAGCCGCACTTTAGAAGGTTATTGTTACTGCGCGGCGCGGCACATAACCGTCAAAATATTTCTTATACATTTTGTACTGTACGTCGCAAAGGTCACGCTGCAGCGTGTGTCACATTGCATAATAAATCACGTTATCAAATACGGTCCGACTTTACAATAGTCATCAACATCATCATCATTTCAGCCATATGACGTCCACTGCTGAATATAGGCCTCCCCCAAGGATCGGTTGGTGGCAGCCTGTATCCAGCGCCTTTATGAGGTCGTCGGTCCAGCTTGTGGGTGGACATCCTACGTTGCGCTTTCCGGTACGTGACCTCTACTCCAGAACCTTGCTGCCCTACCTTGCTTACAATAGACCTAACAAATATCTCACCTCTCCCTCGCTCTGGCTCTTGTGCGAGCGAGTGCGGCGACGCAGCCGGCGCGGGCGCTGCGCGGTGCGTTCTTCCACGTCGGTATCTACTTCCTTCAGCACGCACGGTCTGCCTGCACTGTTGGCAATACACTCAATAAGTAAACTAATAAATGAGGGTTAAGCCATGTATTCATTAGGCACCATTTGTTGATAAACACTGTTTATAAATTGTTCATAAACAATGTTTCATCATCTCTGTAAACAGTTTATAGACAGGTCCATAAACATAGGTGATGAAACATTGTTTATGATACATGTTGCCGTGCTCCCCGCTATGAGTGGAGAGCAAGTGTGGACGGCCAAGTTTCAGAAAACTGTGTTTATGGTAAACTTGTTTCACACTAGTCATAAAGAGTTTATCAACAAATGTTGTCTAATGAATACATGGCTTTATCGTGTTAACCAGTTGGCGCCACTGTAGAGTGAGGTTCATGACTTGCTAGTGGTTAAGACAGTGGCGCCAACTGGTGAACACTGAAGCTCTTGAAAGAATCGATACAGTTTATTAGTAAAAGTATATTGTTACATGATTAATATTTCTATTTTACTTCTGTTTCTGTTCCATTTCATCATCATAATTATCTCAGCCATAGGACGTCCACTGCTGAACATAGGCCTCCCCAAATGCTTTCCATGTTGCCCGGTTGGTAACGGCCTGCGTCCAGCGCTTCCCTGCTACTTTTATGATGTCGTCGGTCCACCTTGTGGGTGGACGTCACACGCTGCTTTTTTCTGTTCCATTTGCCTCTGATAAATAGGAAAGGGTCGGGCTCCTATCGTGGAGCCTGATGATGATGAAATTACTAAGTTAAGTTATTGATCAAAACCTAAGCAGGTCGCTAGTGTCTAACACCCGTATTCACAAACGATGCTTGCATAAGTGAAACAGCAACGCTATGCGAAGTTGAACAGTCAGCGTTGAATAGAGCTCTATGATTGGTGCGTGAGTGTCACTCCGCCACTCAAGTATTGTCTACGAATAGGTTTTTGGAACCTTGTGTCAAAGTCAAAATTTCTTAATTTGTTTAGACTAATAAGTAGTTCTTACAAATCGTCATTTTGCTCTTAAGGAGCTCTACATGTCTCATAATCTTTTTACCCTACCAGCGCTTCGAGACCAACATTTGGCAAGTGCTGAGAAGAAGCGCCGCAACAAACTCAGTCACCACTGTTACGGTTAATATAAATAAATAGAAATAGTAGTAGTAGGTACATTCGATTCAGGAGCAGTTCACTGAATTTACCATGCATTCTTGTATGGTGTATCTTATAAGAATGGGTATGTGCGTCCACGCGAATAAGTTTTAAATTATATTAGCAATATCAACAAGAGTGTACTCACAGCATTTCGATCTCCCTCAGCTGTCCCAGTATCGGCATGAGCGTCACGCGGCGGTTTGACAGCAGATGCCACAGAATTCCCGCCGGACGCTGGCTCATACGCTGGGTCTCTATCACCTGTGGGATAAGGATCAAATTAGCGCAATTTTTTACAATTCGTAAGGAATCTTATTGTATGGACTATAGTACATAAAAGCAGAGTAAATACAAATGAGTAAGTCATCTTCATAGAAACGCACGGGCGCCGTTTGTATGTGAGCGCGCCAATACGTATGCGGCGCGCACGCATACACTGACAAAATTTAGCGGGGAGCCAGTCGTGGTTGCGCCGAATTTTGTCAGTGTGTGCGTGCGCGCCGCATACGTATATTGGCACGCTCACATACAAACCGCGCTCGGTGCGTTTCTATGAAGATGACCTACTCAGTTGTATTTACACTGATAAAGGTGAACACTGTGAAGCTGACAGTCAGCATCACATAGTTCGTGACACCCAAAGTAGCCAATAAGTACGCAGTTAACAACACGTCTTTATTGCCATTAGAATAAAGTCGTGTTATCAACTTTTTAGCCACTTTGCTTGTCATGTAACAGCTACTATTTTGCAACAAAATCTTACAGTCAATACTCAATATTTTATAGTCAGATAACACATTGAGGGGAGAAAAAGAGAAATGTATAAAAACCGGTGGCTCTCATTTACGAACAAAAACACTAAGGATATCGAAATGGGGACAATGATCTTAATTACAAACTTGTTTTAAGTTTTTGCCGGTTTTAACACATTTTTTAACTATTTTTAAAAATAAGTAATAGTTTTTAAAAGTAAATACTTATTCTTGGATATTTTACACAGCGCTATTGCAAACTAGGTTAAGTTGGCACAACAACGTCATGTCTTTCAAATAAATTTCTTTACAAAAGTTCGATTTTGCAAAAAAAAGATTTATGTGTTGTCGGCTATACTAAGTACACCAAGCAACGCTATAAACATACATATTTAGACAAGTGTTCATGCGCAAAAATGTACGGGCTATGAACCCGTGACCTCTGGCGAAGTAGAGTTGCCAACAGCACCAAATGACCGTCAGTTACACAGAGACATATTTCAATACTAGCTTTTGCCCGCGATTTCGCCCGTGTGTATTACGGTCGTTCATCCCGCTTAAAAAACAGGGATAAGAATTCTGTATTTTATGTTGGGTCTCAAACTATCTCTAATCTAAATCAGTTCAGTCACGAACTATCACAAATTCACAATCATAATAATTTCAGCCAAATGACATCTTCGACTTTTGAAAATAGGCCTCCCCCAATGATTTCCGGATTGGCCGGTTGGAAGCGGCCTGCAACCAGCGCCTTCCTGTAACCTTTATAAGGTCATCTGTCCATCTTTCGTCCCACTTAGAAATGCTAGGAGTCTCAATTTTTGCATGGGGGTTCCTTGTAGAACGTAAGTGCTCACTAAGACAGGATTTTGCAAAATTCAACCCCTAAGGAGGTAAAACAGGGTTCACGGCCACGCGTACGAAGTCACGGGCGGCCGCTAGTTTATAATATTAGTAGGATATTTAATTTACCTGTGTTGGCGTGACAATGATGTCAATGGGGACATCGTGAGGGCCGAACAACTCAGCGGGCAGTGTGTCGAACACCTAAAATGATAGTAAAAACATTAACAAACGGTACTGATATTTCGTAATGTTCAGTCACGATATGTGGAGGTACGGTACAGTTATCAAGGTAAATAGTGGCCTTCTTAAATTTTAGGGCTAGTTTCAACAGTTCTTGATTAAAGTTTCAGATAGTTCTGTCCAATCTAATATTATGATGATGCTTTGTAACAAAAATACCAAACCTCCTTTTATTGAAGTCGGTTAAAAAAAAGGGTGCTGGTTACCGGTGGCTATAATAGTCAGATATCTGTTTGAAACCAAAAAGTATAGTTTAGCTGACAAGCAAGTCCCTAATAGGCTAAACTTTATCAGCGAGTGGTAAAACAAGCCCTAAAACTATGATATTTAGATCATTACACACTCCTGATAAGTATTTTTAAGTTAATGAAGATGATGACATTAAATAAGGTTTAAAAGTAATAAAAATACAATATTTTTCTCTATACTAGTAAAAGTTAGAGGCTATACCGATTTTTGTCAGCCATACATTAATCCAATCAATCAACAGGTCATTCAATAATGCAGCTGAATGTACCAAAGTTGATTGGATGAGTTATAGAGGATGTTCTTCAAATACCACGTATCGCTGTGCATCGACCTTCAGTACTGTTTTAATTATTGGTTACTATTAGCAGTTTCGTTTCGATCCTTGCTAGATTTTTGCCTATGATTTCGTGGGGATGTTTGTAATTTATACTTCGATTAACAAAGCGTGATACAGTAGTAGTTATTTGGTATCAAACAATCTTTCAGAATGAGGGTTTTCGCGAATGAAAGATCCGCTAGATGGCGGGACGTGGATGTGGGATTTGACTGCTGCGTGATTGGTGGATTTTGACATATCTGGCAATGTCATGTCAAAAATAACCAATCATGCAGCATTTGGACCTCGCGTCTACGTATTGCCATTTGGCGGATGTTTCATACGCGAAAACCCTCATTCATTTAAATGCAAACAATATTTTTCAAAACCACTAATTTACACCTATGTACATGCTGTCTGTTAAAGTCCCCAATCTGAATTTTTTCTTCGCTTACTATTGCGCATGCTATTCTAATTTTTTTAATGCGCTAAAATAAGTAATGTGAGAAAATAATAAAAAAATGTGTTATACCTGACAATCATGAACGGTGGTGGCAACCAGTGTGTTCGGCTTGATAGCTTTCATGTGCATCATCAGGCCAAACTCCAGATCTCCATAGCCTAAAATTAAAAAGTTGACTTAACTTTCTCAGTTCCTCAAAAATGAGCTCAATGTATAGAGCATTAGGCTATAATCTCCCATTAAACGCTATCAAACGTTTCTGTCGACGTCCATAGTGTTCATAGGCCGAAGTCAACGTCTGAAGGAGACCACAACAGTACATTTCTATAGTAAGCATTGTGACGCGGCCTACGCTAGGGCTCAAATAGGAGACCACAACCTTATGGTCATAAGTACATTAGGGGCCGTCCATAAATTACGTCATCGATTTTTTCAGATTTTAGACCCCCCCCCCCCTACAATCATCCTAGCGTCATTTCTTAATGACCCCCCCCCCCCCCCCCCTAATTTAGAATGACGTAATATATGGACGGCCCCTTATCTAGGTTGAGTTTTGATTACGAACCTCGTCCTTTCCCGATACGGTAGCCTTCCTTAGAAACAGCTACCGATCCCATCACCACCAGATCCAAGGAGACTGAATCTTCAATACCTGCAACATGAAGAATAATTGAATCGGTTATTAGTGTTATTACTTGATATCACAGAATAATAATGTTGATTATGTGCTTTCTGGTACTCGTTATGTTGACTAAGTAACTACGAACTGAAAATCAAAATACTGCCAGTTATACTACAGGAAAGAACTGAAATACTGTGATTTTCCAGGTCCCAAAGCGCGTGGTGAAATAAGAAAAACTGCAACTTAACGCACATTAAAAAAAATCAAAACGTGTTTCAAACAGGTTTCGTTTCGTTTCACCGAATATGAATTCCTTTTAGAAACTGAAATGTAACAAAACTAGACTAGACTTGCAGTTCTATCATATTTTTGTCTTTCACCGTATTTCGGGCCTTCATAAAGTCAATCCACTGCGCACAACTGCCTCAAAGTTACCAGATTTAAATGGGGAATTTGGCCTTCTCTCATGGGATATCAGGGGGGTCCATTTTGAACTTTAATAGAATATGACAAAGCAAGATTTTGGAGAGGAGGCCACGTATCGCAAAGCGCAGCGTAGGAGGTCCACCCACGAGGTGGACCGACGACCTCATAAAGGTAGCAAAAAGGCGCTGGATGCAGGTCACTACCAACCGGTCAATAAGGAAATCATTGGGGAAAGCTTATTTTTAGCAGTGGACGTTCTATGATTGAAAAGATGAGAATGCCTTTTCAAGGTGAGAGTGAATAGGCACTTACAGGGCAGATATGTACCATCCTAGACTGCATCTCACTTAACACCAGGTGCGATTGCGGTCAAATACCTGCCTTGTCATGCATAAAAAAAATTACGACTTACCAATGGGTTTTCCATTAGTCTCCATTCCGTTGCGGGAGACAGCCTTCCTGATGGCAGCCGGTCCGGTCTCACCATCAGGCAACTCCAGGCGGTTCAGGAATCCGGTCTGCAGACGCGGCACTGGAACGTAGAGCGTCTTCTGTTGCTCTAGGCATATCACTCTGGAAGGGATAATCAGCTGTGAGATGAGGGGATAAAGTTCCAAATACGATAGCAACTATAGTACTATTTGAGCAGACGGGGCACAGGGACAGAACGTCTTTTGTTGCTCCAGGCAAATCACTCTGGAAGGGAGAATCAGCTGTTAGATGAGGAAATAAAGTTCAAAATACGGTGTCAAATATAATGCAGTCTTTTGTTGCTCCAGGTATATCACTCTGGAAGGGAATCGGCTGTAAGACAAGGGCACAAAGTTCAAAATGCGATGCCAAATATAGTTCAGAGTGTCTTTTCTTGCTCCAGGCATATTACTCTGGAATGGAGAGTGTGCTTTTAAATGAGGGAATAAAGATCAAAATACTGTGGCAACTATGTATAATGATTTTTTACAAATGAGAGGCTCGCTGAGACGGACAAAATAAGTTACACGCGAAAAAAACAGGCCATCGTAATTCTTCTATATTTTTGAAGGGCGATATAGCTTATATTGCAGCTGTAAGCCATTATAACAGGGCGCGACTATTTCAAGGTATTCTTCAAATGGGCACTAAGATACAAAATGTTCTATTGAAAACCGATAAAGGCCATCAAATTATCTTCTAGAAAAATATGTAGCACCGATTCTGCTATTTGAATGCAACATAGTAAGTTGACTGATTCGAATTAAATTCGAGCACTGAGATAAATCATTCATAAGCAATCCATTAGAATTTTAAAACTCAATCTTTAAAAAATCGCTTTTACATACTGACCGTATATGAAATTCTAAAACAGACTCGCAAGGTGAGATAAAGGATAAAATAATCGATGTATGTACCCAAGTAGTTGTGATTTATTCGCAATGTTCGTTGTTACTTTTATTTCAGTAAACTAGCACCCATATTGCCACTGAATAGTTTTGGTTAAAACTATTACAAATTGCTAAGATTTGTTTAATATTCAGTAAACAACGTTGAAGAAACCCCGATAGTGATTTAAGTAAGATAGAATGATAACATTTTTATTTGATAATGATAGCGAGTACAGTTGAGTCATACAACAAGTTCGTAGGTATTTGCCTGACATTATTTTTAATGAGTGCATCAATTAATATTAATTAGAACCTAGTGCAAACAGACGCTTATACATAAATGTAGTGCCTAACAGAAACAATGTTATATTTAAATAATTCTTGCCATTATCTCATGCATATGTATTTTTCTCGGTGGGTTAAACGTGATAAGATTTATTTAAAGTATTACATACCACTGTCATTATATTCTCAACATCAAATAAACCGCACCTTCGCGACGCAAACTTTAACGATTTTCTCCTGACACAATCATGGTGCCCCAACAATATTGGTGTTATTTGAAAGCCCAATAAATATCCTTAAAGAAAAGCGCATTTAATTTCTTAATAAATGAATAACACATACCATAAATGTGACTTGAAAAAATACCTCACTTTGGGCCCACCTATGGGATCAATTAGACCAATTTTTATGATTATAAAACCAAATAATGATTTCACGTGTCCTCTTTAAAAGATGGATAGCAATTAAACCCAACTTAACAGTCTTATAGCCATAAAAGTTGGCTCTAGCGTAACTACCTATTTTTTGAAGAAGTGACTCTGGATCCTTCTAAAGACACATTTTTGAGGTAAAAACCTTTCCTTTAATGAAATGAAGGTTAGAACTAGGCTTTTAAATGGTACCAATATTGGTGGGAAGTGGGGATGTATACGTCTGAAAATGCTTGTCGCGGGAGGTGCGATTTATTTGACGTCGAGTGTATTTGCATAATACAGGTCGTTTCAGTAGACCATAGTAGTTACAGTCAGCGTCAAATAGTGACAACCAAGATGGCCAAGAAGTTGACAACACAACACAACCTTTGTAACAAAGACGTGTTGCGAACTTTTTGGCTTCGGGTGGGTGCCACGAACTATTCGACGCTGACTGTACAAAAACATTTCTGAGAAAGTTGCAATAATGATGAAAACCTTTTGTACCAGCTTTTTGAAAGCTAGTTACTAAAAAATAAATCTACAAATAGATACCTACTTGTCTTATAACTCGCAAAAGACTTGTGCAATAGTTCGGCGCACCTACTAGCGTAATTTGTGTGCGTCATTCAACTGTAACACCTACTGTATATTGTCTCGATTATGTCTAAATATAAATAACTCTGAACTAGCCGTAACTATAGTAGGTATACGAAAATAGACGAGAAAATGGTGTTGGAAAATTGAAGAACGTGCGAAGACCTGCGGACCTAAATAGCTGATGATTAAAGGGTCAATCAACTTTGCAGAGGAAAATAAATGTACAGGCCGCTACGCGCAGCCTCGACCATGCGAATTTGTGTTTACTCGTAGAAACAATAGAAGCGATATTTTTATGACGATGGAATGATTATGACTCCGCCCATCAATAACCGGGCAAGGAGCGCGCCGTGATAAAACTTATCGATGATTTTAGACGATAAACGTATGGGCTTGTAGCGTAAAATCGATAAAAACGTATCACGATGCGCATCCTTAGCCTACAGGCCATAAGAACATCTCCTAACCTTTATTTATATCAAGATATATATACATTTCTATGACCTATTTTTTATTGTTTAGTCCCTTTTTAGCATAGTAACAAAAATCGAAGAGTAACTGTAAATTACATTTTCGTATACCCCAGGCAAAGTTACTGATTGTGTTACAAATTGAGAATTAATAGATATGTTTATTATTTACTTTATGCGCTTGGGGTTATCAAAGTTACTTTGAGGTCAAACAATGCATTAATTAACAAGCGACACACCAGGATCTCTTAACAAAAGTATAGGAACTAGAATATCCATATAATTAACCCTTAAAAGGGTTTGACGCAGACCGTCCCATTCGCATTTCGTCGCGAATGCAAAAATGGTCATTCTATATTGTTCCATTCGCAAAATGGTTACTCAGATAAAAGTTGTTTAACATTTTCAACCTACAATCTGAACTATTGTTTCAAAAATAGGTAGGCTTTAAATTTAATCTGAATGTGACCATTTTGCGAATGGGAACAAAATGAATGACCATTTTAAAATAGCCCTATTTCAAACTGAAATCGCTATTGCTTAATTTCTATAAATTGCTGTTCATTAACTCAATTATTACAGTACATTCAACTATGAAAATAAATATTTGTTGAAACGAGCCTAATATGAATGAATTATATCAAGAGAAAATAGCACAAATAAATTATAATGCAGCTATAAGCATTTTTCAAATAAGTTTTATGTAACCAGAAGAAAGTTACAACGTTCAACGCGGAATGCATTACCCAAGATATCGGTCATGGCTTGCATAACACAGTCATTGTAGCATGATACACTGAATTCAACTGTACGTTATAATATTTTCAGTTAACGTTTACTTCGTGGTTTTAAAAATCCGTTTCCAAAGGGGAGAAGTGATTGGAAGTCAATAAAAGCCAGTTAGTTGTTTGTCAAGTTCTGTACGTTTCCCCAAAGCTAGGGGCAGTAAAAGACTACGTTTACTCCATCTTGCGTTGGTTGGATGGAAAAACATTTCTAGGTAAAAGCACATGCGAAATTTCTCTGCTCTTTTTGCACAGGAAACACACTTTCTATTTCTCCCACTTTCCTCTGAAGCAGTAGATCAACTTGCGAGCTAACTTCAGCCTACGAAGGGCTAAAAAATTTTCCCACCCTTGCCCCAGAAAAAATACTCTTTTTACACGCATCATAGTTTTGCGACTAATCCTGCCTTCTGAATTACAAAGTAGGAGTTAAACATCTGCCGGACGACTCATCTTTTAATGGCCTAACCATGGAAATTAGCAGACAAGCTGAAGTTCCTCGTCGTAATACAAGTTCCCAGTGGTAGGAACGAAAGGTGGGGGAAATTGTCCTGCACCCCTTTTCCAGGAGTTACCTTTTTCGCCACACTCTATGCAGGAGTTACCTTTTTCGCCAGACTCTATGCTGCTTCATCAAATGGTATACTAATTTTCTATACAAAATATTCAAGTAATAACAGAGAATAATCTTCCATCACTGACCTCACAGGCTCCTGAGGCTTATCCGGGTTGACCTTCACCGTGACGGCATTCTTGAACACATCCAGCTCCGCCAGCTTAGCGGCCGCCTCCGGAGCACCCTTGAAGTTCGGGATGCGATTGTACACCGGCCGCGGGAACATAGCCAGCCCGTTCGACTCCAGGTGACGCCATACTTTCAGCCGGAACGACTGCTTCGTCACCTCCTCAGGCACTGGTTTCTTGGCTGGAAAAAAGGTTGGAATGTAGAAAACTTCATGCTACGTTCATGTATTACTTAATAATTGGCGATACAGACAGTGGAAGAGAAAATCGTTAAAAGAAATGACTGTGGTAGCCTATAGAATATACGATTGACCCAAAAATGGATTGTGCTTATTTTAAACTGCGTCCAGTTTAGGATAGTGGTTGAAACCACCTGAATTGGTGTGCTATCAGCTCTAAATGTAGACCGAATTAAGTGCGATCGATGGGACATTATTAATAGTAACAACGTAACAACTAGCTGGTTGGTCCGCCACAACTTCGTAAAGGCTTTTCATTCATTTTAATCTATGTGACTTTTCAGTGCATCATCAATCAAGTATATTGCTTCCGAGTTCCGATACATTATTTTTGTTTGACACAAATTAAGCTTTTTCGTCGTAGCGCCGTTTTTTTAACAGTAAGTAAATTGGCGATAGTAAAATGACAAAAATACTGACACAATTTGACAAATTGCGGGGGCACGAAACTATAATTGATTGTGTGCAAACACGAATGCATTTATCGTAAAGAAATAATTCAAAAATAAAACTCTTGAGTGTGTTTATTGTTTACATTCCAAGCTGGATGTCACGGACATTGTGATAATCTTATCACAAATGCAACGGTTCGTTACCACGGTTGCTGCATAAGATGTGATAACCACTACGCGACTTCGCGATTGGCCTCTTTGTAAAGTTGCGTGTTCTGAGAATCACGCCCGTATTCACAAACATTACTATGAGGTCTCACAGGGCGCGTGGTCGCACAGGGTCACACACGAACCAATCACAGAGCTCTACTCAACGCTGTGCGTTCCATTTGCTGCTTCACTTAAGCAAGCATCGTTTGTGAATATGGGCATCAGTCATGGGGCACAATCCTATTCCTACCTCATATTGAAAACCGAAAATCACACCTATTGGCCCTATTGCTACCATGTAAGGTGCTAAGGTTTACTTTGATTTTCCGCACCTTCTGGAATTTGGACAAAGCATTTACCAGTGTCAATGGGATATGCATATTTCCGCTCAATAGATGTCGCTTTATGATGATTAGTATCTTTATTAGGATCTTTATTTAGCACGCGGTCGTGCAGGTTAAACCATTGTAAATAGATATTTGTGCAAATCTCTAGGAAATGTTTTTGAATTGAAAATGAATTTATAATTTTGAGAGTAAAAAATGAAGTTTGCATTGCACATTACACCAAAATTTTTCAGTGAATGACCACCTTTAGCTGCCAGATAACATAACTTTTAAAAATAAAACTTGCCACAATGGCGCTACCAATGTTGTTAATAAATTATGCTTATCATGATTTTTTTTATTTTGATAAAATATTTTTTGAGGTCAGTGGAACTTCTTATCAAGGGTAAAATTGAGACCATATGAAAGGTAGTAAGCAGTCTAGTCATCTGATTAGCATCACAGTAGAACAAAAGTAAGGAAAAGTTATTGGCAAAGGGACAGCTAAGTAGCAAAGTACTGATCATCTATATGAGGAAGGAAAACTTGCATCCAAGGTCTTTTGGGATAAATATAGAAACGTTTTGAAAATTCTTAATTGAATTATTCAGTCAATTGGCTTTCTTTTCATTTCTTTTCCATTTTCATTTTTGAAACATTAATTTAAGATAGAATTTTATGTTTGCCAACTAAATTATCTCCCTGATCAAGTTATATTTTTTGTGTACATACTATTTACTCAGTATACACATAAATTCGAAACCGATTGCAGATAATTTATCCGCTAATATGAAATTTAGTTGCACAACATGTGTTGCGTCCGTTTTTTATTTTCTGTCGACAAAAACATTGCCAGTACATTATTAATATTACAAATCATTTAATTACATCTAATATTTTAAGTTTTTAACGTGCTAATGCTCTTAAATCCAAAAGTAATAACACAATCCGTACCGACTTGCCACTATTTAATAATTATGTCAAGAAAAAGAAATCGCGCATTCTCAAAGCTATGTGCATGGAGATTGATGCCAATTTACAGAATATAATTTAGAGATATCAGTAGCCTCAGATATATTATGAGATTTAATTAAAATTAATCGATTAGTCGATTAGCTAAATCGCAAATGGAGCGTTAAATCGCAGCAATAGGAAACATCGCTCCAGTTCGTTATCTAAATATCTAAATATATAAAAGGAGAAACTGACTGACTGACTGACAGATCAACGCACAGCCTAAACGGCTAAACGTAGGCACTTGAAATTTGGAAGGGACGTAGCTTAGGTACCGTAGAGGTGCACTAAGAAAGGAATTCCCGAAATTCCCACGGGAACGGGAATTAGCGGGAAAAACGGGATTCACGCGTACGAAGTCGCGGGCGGCCGCTAGTATTTTATACTAGCTTTCCGCCCGCGGCTTCGCCCGCGTGGAATTTTGTCTGTCACAGAAAAACTACATCGCGCGCGTCCCTGTTTCAAAAATCGTGATAAAAACTATCCTTTGTCCTTTCCCGGGAATCAAACTATCTCTATGCCAAGCTTCATCAAAATCGTTTCAGTGGTTTAGGCGTGAAAGAGAGACAGACAGACAATTACTTTCGCATTTATAATATTAGTATAGATTAAAGTACAGCTTACATGACCGAGAAATTAAGCAATTAATGAGATTAAATGTCGAACACCCTTATTACTTATTCATTAGGGTTTAAATATAGCTTTATCGCGGTTTTCCCTAATGACTATTCTTGTCACTTTCTAGCAAATTACTATTTCTTTTTGACGAAAAGAGGCGACTGTTTTTCTCGGAATCCTGTTAATGACCAGTAATTCTCATAATGATGTATAATGTCTTAATTCATCAATAACTAAGATAAGAATACCGAAACTTTACATCATAATCAAGATCAAGTCTTGCGAATGCATGGATAATATTCACTCACACCTCACTGTCTGTGACCTCTTTTAGGCAATTGGGTACCTACTTGGTTATCCAGATTGTACCCGAAATGGTGGCAATCTTTTCCTTAGTGGTCCCTTTTAAATCCCAAGTTCTGTAACTTCTAGGTATAGCTTCTTTTCAGGTGCTTTGTAACAAGTAGGATCAAAATCCTGGTGTTTATCTTTAAAATCTTCATAAGACAAGAGCCCAAATCATAGGAATATTGGCTAAAACTAAAGTATAAAACTAAGGTGTTTCAGGAACGTCCCAAGCCAAACAAAACTGGGAACTAGTGTTGTAACTTTCCTGAGAATCGTCAGACACTTTCTTTTTGTGGGTTCATTTGTTTCTACATTTGGGGGTACAGGTATTCTTGCAAAGCGTAAGAGAAATGCATTTTTATTTAAAGCCACACCAAATATCTATTACATAGGTCTATTAGATACCCGTGTCGCATTCAAAAAAGAAGTGCATCCATTACAAGATTAATTAGGCATTTGATGCACTGTTCAGCGTCAGTAATGTTTGCCAACTGACTTTCGATTTGGCGGGAAACGTCGATAATTTAAAGAATAGCCGATTACGTGAATTCGGTTTACCAATAACACTAAACTTGGTATTTGTATTGATATACAACCACGTTCAATAGCTTTAGTGCCGTTAATTAGGTAAATTGGCAACACGTTTTCCTGGAAGACGGTATTGCATAGTTAGAAATTAGTGGTTAAAAAAAATTTACCACTCTCTACAACATCTAAGTAATAAAAATATTTAGACGTGTCTAGACCAAGAAAAAATGTTTATAAAGAAGCAATTATTGAGACAAAGAAATGACGGCAAAATTCGACTAGAAAAAGTGAAGTCCTCCGATAAAATGGTGTCATAGTGTCAAAATATCCATCCAAGGTGCACTCCGACGGTGGGTCACGTGAAAATACAATAATATAAACCAATTTATTTATGTTAAAATAAGTTTTAATGAACGATTCGGTAGTTACGATGACACCAGACGGCTGGCACGCAACGTAGCATGTCATTGCTTCAGAAATGTGCAGAGAAATAGCGCGAAAAGAAGTGAAAATATAGAATTTATTAATTGATATTATTAACGTGTAAACCAATATAGTAAGTTTTGCCAAGTTAGCACTTGGATGTGTAATGAAAGATATATGCTAGGGTGTATTTTGGTTGAAAGAGAATGAGACATTACATTTTTCATCTAACTTTAACAATAACATGAAATTACTCAAACTGTATACTTAATCACATTAATTGACATACATGTATCACTATTTATGAAATGGCAACAACCCTCATATTTTTAGAGTTAAAAAAATTTAATTAACTTTCATTTATTTTAATTAAAAAATAAAACAATAAAATTTTGACATCACATTGCTGAGCCAAAATAATTGAGTGGAAGAGTCACTGGAAAAATATTTGGTTGTTAATCATCATCAATTACCATAATGTACCAATGGCTGATATGGCTCTACATATTTCAAACTCAATATTTTAATTTTTCAACAGTCTATTATATTTTGAGGCCAGTTATTATACACCATTATTGTATATGGATATGAGCAAATTCGCTCCCAGTGATCTCAAGGTGATACCACATTACAAATGTAACTGTACACCTGTGCACATATGTAACCGATAACTACATAATAATTTTATGTAGCCATATTTTAAGTATCTGTAAACAATAAACCACCACACATAGTTTCTATGCTGAAAAATACTAGAAATCATATTGAATTTTCAATTCTAATTGAAAATAAATATGTATTTATTCAATCGTAAATTATTTTTAGTTTCTATCTAGTAAATAAGGAACAAAAATTCTAAGAAGATATTAATTCAATATCAATAATCAATCTACAGGCTTAAATTGATGATCATTTGATTGAATGCTGGTGAAAAAAGGTGTACTTATGTAAACGGATATACTGTAGCGAGGCTAATGCATCAATATGGCCTATAGACATATTTAAAATACTATAGATAGAGTAGATTTTGCTACCAGAAAATGGTAATGTTTTAGTTTTAATCTAATACAAAATGATAAAAGAATAACGTAAATATTTTAAACTTTATTGCTAGTATGATCCAGAAAATATGTTTTAAAAGTATTAATATATAAAACTGAACTATACCAGAGATGGTAAAAAAAATATCTGTCTACCTTCCAAAGAAATAATAAAAAAAAAATTATGCATAGCTACAAAGTCAAATTAACTTCTAAATAAAAGTAAATATCAAGATGATGAGGTAACATTTATTTTGCACTAAAGTTGTAGACCTTCATATTGATGATTCAGAGCAAATAGAAGTATTGAATAAGTGACCTATGAAACCATTTGCATATTGAAGGTAGGTGTAAATAATTTGAAAGTATAGTAGGTGGCCAAATGCATTGATTGCGCAAGAACTAAGCGAAAATATATTATTTTTGCCGCTAAAAGGCAAACGCGCACTACGTTGGAAACTCCGCACAAGCCAATTGCTTAATAAATCAACAACATTTTTACCAGAGGTGGGCAGAACATAAGAATCTGACTCATGTTTCACACTCCAATTAAGCTACCCACAGTATCAATAATTACAAGCCGAGGAAGCAACCCAAATGGTTGTAATCAATGCACGAAACTTAAATGCAAGTGAAATTTATCGAACGCAACACATTGTAATATAATTCCAATAAGACTGCAATGGTCAGAACGATATTTTTCGACGCGACATTATGTGGGTACTCAAAAATATACGCTATAATACAATTAAAAGAGATTAATTCACATATTTAAACATCGTCGGAACGGCATTTTCGCTAAATTATGAAGAAAACAGAGGAACAATGATTGTTATTCCATTTAATTTGACAACAAAACTTTGTACTCACTAGTTTCTGCGCTCGGTGCCGTATCGTCTCCGTTCTGCATCTTGGTGTTTTTTAGCAATCGGAAGGTATCTTGCAAATATTTAGATGGTCTTTACGAAAATCATCAAAATTATTTGGAAAATAAAAACCTTCGCCGGACGGAACCGTCACACACAAAAATAGAACGCGAATAAAAAACAAATGCATCCAACTTTACGGCGCGAAAATGCAAGTGCTAACAACATAAGAATAATAAAATCAGCCTGTTTTGGTTTACAACATTTTGTAGACGATTTAATAAAATTAATTCTAACTCAATAATTTTGAATTTATTTCAACTAAAATTACTTTTGTTACAAATTTATATCAGTCTATAATTCGAAAATTTTTTTTTACTGAGCAATAACAGAAATAACAGTTCAAAATCAGTTGTCCAATGTATAAAACCAATGTGTATCCGAACGGAAATTATCAACTCTGCAATGTCGGCCACAGATTGAAAAATCATCTGCAGTGGCGCCAAATCAAAAAAGTATTTTCATCTAAATTTTCCTCTATGTTCTATGTAAAAAAAATATTGAATTGGCCTAAAATATTGGTTGGTTTGGGATTCGGTTATTTTAATTTAGTAAAATAAAATCATGCTTTTTAGACACTAAATATTATTCATATATAATAGTAATTATTTTGCTAAACAACAAGTAACATTGGGAATGTGAAGATGGTTAAAATGATGATGGACTGGGTTTCGACCATTGACCGAATTCTTTGCGGGTTTATGGTCAGTTTCTACACCCCGTCATTAAGTTTCTAAATTAATTATACCATCACTCGTTTTCACACTTTAGAAGAGTTGCAGTAGTGGGAACGAGAGTTAGGATTGGTTCACTAGTATGGGTTTTAATCTACTATAGTCAATCAGAGAAACTTGACCTTCACTGGTTGGGTTTTTATTGGCGGTCAAGCAGTAGATCCTGGCTACACAGGAGTTGCAGTGGTGGGAACGAGAGGTGGGAATAGTCCCGTTACTATTAGGCGATACGATAAAATAAACGAAGTAATGAAAAGAAAACGTAAAATATATATTTCTGTATAAATAATAAATAACAATTCATCTTATAGTTTGAGACATGTGCAGGGGAGTGAGCATGAGTTCAAACGCCGCATCTTTCAGGTTGGCGCCTCGCAGGTTCGCTTCATGAAGATCGCTGCCTGACAGGTCGCAGCACTGAAATTAAGAAAAAATATAATTTAATCTATATCCTTAATTAATTATCTTACTCTATAGTATCTAGCAATGCTTGATAAAGAAGAAGAACGCTACAATCAGCCATTTTGTTTGGGCTGAGTATTAATTGTGCTGCTTGCGTACCGACGTTGGATTGAGGGAGCACAACAGAGTTGAGGTCTACCCATTCTGCATTATTTACAACGCAATAATGAAATTATATGATTGACATTTTGCATTAAGTATATCAGAAATGTTTTTTTTTAAATCATATCACAAAATAAAACATATTTAATATGCTGTGTAGCTCATTAATAAAAGCAAATTAATTATAGAATAAAAACGTAATAAACACCTCTAAATCTGCCCCAGCTAGCACAGCAGTCCTGAGATCACAATTTTGAAGGTTAGCATTCTTCAGTGTTGCCACCCTCAAGTTTACACCCGCCATATTGCTTCCTTCCAAGTTGGCTCCTGAAAAATAAAATTTATTTTATTTTATTTCTGTCAGTTTCATGTTTAGTGAGAGTATGTCAAGGTTAAAGATACAATATAGGAATTCAAGGTGCTGAAACCGATTGATTTGTGTAACCTTGGAGTATTTATTTTTAACATATTGATTGAAGGTCTGGACTCTTTTCCTGAAATAATGAGTGTAAGTTATAATGAACGACGCCGCGACGGCTACCGTTTCAGCGTTCATCAGTTGGCGCCACTGTAGAATAAGGTCCTTTCACCACTGTCACTAACTAGTGGCGCGAAACCGTGGCCTTATTTACGGATACGGATACTACGGATAGTACGGATACGGAGTTTCCTAGACTTGGTATATCAGCATAACCTTAATAAATGCAGCTAAAGACTGATGAAAGATATTATTATAAGATAGCCTACCAGAATGGCTCAAACAAAGTTGCCTTTTTATGTATTAGAAACTTTTAAATGTTCACCTTTTAGATTAACTCCCTCCATCACAGCTCTGGATCCAGCAGGATCCTCCATGTTTGACCCTCTCAAGTTCGCCCCTGAAATTATAAAAAAATACTTAGTAGTTAAGTTAGTGTAGGTAAGTTGTAATAACTGACACTTTTGTGAATTAAATAAAGATGAATATATTTTTCTCTCACTATTTTACTTTATATATTTACTGGCGACCCGCCCCGGCTTCGTACGACGGGTGCTAAGTATACATATTTATAAACCTTTCCTTGAATCACTCTATCTATTTTAAAAACCGTATCAAAATCTATTCCGTGGTTTTAAAGATCTAAGCGTACATAGGGAGTAGGGACAGACAGCGGAAAGTGACTTTGTTTTATACTATGTAGTGATATCTTGTATGACATATTAGAATGTGTGTGGTTTCTAACATGGCATCTTTCATCATCATTCGTTAAATAAAATGGCAAGCTAACTAATAAATAATTAAATAAATATCCTTGGACATTTTACACCGCGCTTCTAGTCCCAAACTAAGCAAAGCTTGTACTATGGGTACTAGACAACGGATATAAATAAACATACTTAAATACTTTTTTTTTAAAACACCCAGTCCAATACAAACAAATATGTTCATGCACACAAATGTTTGTACGGTGCATGAATCGAACCCGCTACCTCCGGAATAGCAGTCTGTTTCGAACTACTACAGTACACCAAACGGCTGACACCAACTGTTTATTACAATGTTATACCAACCTTCCATATTAGCGCATAAAGCTTTAACGCCTAGTAACTGAGCTCCTTCTAAATTAGCGTGCGATAAGTCAGCCCGCTCCAAGCAACAGTGGGAGAGGTTCGCACCACTCAGGTTGCATCGTGACAGGCACGCATACTGGAATAGGGAAAATGACAAAGTTAGATATAATTCTACTGTTTGTCTTTTCTTATTTATAAGGTTATTCAATAAAATAATACAATTTTGAAAATTATTTTATGAAAGTTTTGCTTTAAAATTCAAGCAATTTTTATTTATTTTATTTAAAGACTTTATTGCACACACAACAATGTTCAGTACAAAAAGGCGAGCTTAATGCCATAAGTCATTCTCTACCAGCTGACCTTGAGCAAAACAGAGATATTGAGTAGGCGGTGCTAAAAAGCTACAAAAATGTACACAATATAATACATAAAATATTATAATATACAGTGTGAGTCACGTTAAAGTGTACATATGAAAATAGATGAAACTAGACCTATTTTTATCGACAAAAAAGAGGTCAAATTTTTTTTGAGATTTTTTTAAAATATTTTATAGATTTTTTTTTCTTCCAATTACATATTGTAAAGAAAACGTAATAACTTTTAAACTAAGCGGTATATCCTGATAAAATAAAAACAGTAATAATGCTAAATAACAGGCGATACTAAAAAAATACATAAAATACACAAAAAATGCCAACAAATAATAAAAAATGACACTTTTTGAAATAAAACTGCTTTTAAATTCGTGTTTTTTTGGTTATTTGATAAATTTCTCCAAAAAATGCCCCTATAACAGATGATTTTTATTATTTTGTATTATTCTCTATCGTATTATCTTTGTAAAACCAAAAATTGCATGTCTCTGTCCCTATCACAACATTTGCTATGATTGTTTGAACAAAGGCCTGCCACAACATTATTCTCCGCTACAGGTAGAGACAATTTTAATTTTAACTAAAATGTTTATTTTACTTTGAAATCTTTTGTTTTTATTTGAAATCTAACTTGTCTTTATCAAAATTACAAATCTAGAGCCATTTTCAGTTTCGTTGTTAAACCTCGTAAGTCCTGTGTTTTTTCAATAGCAGTATTCATATCTGCCGGATGTACTATACCAAGTACAAACTAAGAAATGTGCTTCAGACCGAGATAAAATATTGACGGTTTTACATAGTTTTTTAAGTGTTACATTATGTTTTGTATTTTTTACTGTAAGTTTAGCATCTTTAGCACCTGTTTTAAAAGAAAAATATTGAAAATAGTTTGTACTCCTGTAAGTACGTTAGGCTTTTTATACAGTGTAAAAAATAATATAATTAAGATAAAGTTTTTATTTAAGTATTAAAAATAAATCATATTTTTCTTCTAAACGTCACTTAAGTAAGCAATAATTATGAAATTCAGTGTTTAAGATAAAATTATTTGGCCTTAGCGTTTTATATGGAGAATTTCACCAACATTAATTTTTCCATACTAATATTTTTGTGATTTTTTAAAAAGCCATGAATTCAAATTTTATGAAATTTTGTAGGTAGATTGTAACAACATTAAGCTATAAAAAAATTAAGACATTTTTTTTGAAAATTGGTATCTGTATAAAAATATATTTATTTTTGTTTAATGGAAACGGACGACAATTAGGACGAGCTGTCTTTGAAGATTAAATTCCAATTTAAAAAATAAAATTAAGCTTAACATTTTATACGTAAAAGTAAGCCCTTGAAGTATATTTTCAAATAAAAAAAGATGGACATAGCTATACTATGAAAGAAATTACATAGTAATGAACTTCAGAGAAAAAAAAACGCTAATTTTATACCTAATACAACTTTCATACAATTATTTGTGTAACAAACGCCTAACGTACTATATCAAGTACAAATTATTTTGACCGATCATAAACCTCCTAAAATACAAAGTTTCTTTTTAAATTTTGTTTAATTTACAAAAACTGTAATTTATATTTACCGATACATTTAAAAAACAAGACAAAAAACAAAAGATTACTTTGATATAAACAGATAAACTACCCTCGTGCCGGCCGGCAATCCGACCGCGTGACCATTTTGAGAAAAATTGACACTGACAATGACAGTTGACGTTACCTGTCTAACATGGTGGAATTGACCATAGAGTATTGAATGAGTATGGTCGTATCATTTTTGCCATTGTAAAAAAACAACCCGGTAAATGAGGAAAGAAAAATTTGTACTTGGGTAAGTACATTGGGCAGTTACGCTTGCTATGAAATTTAAATGTCAGGTCTGAACTACTAT